TTTTTAATAAGCGTCTGGATTCGGTTAGATAAGATTTTGTTGAAAATTTTTGCATCTGTATCATTGGGATATTGGTTCTGTAGTTTTCTTTTTTTGTTGCATCCTTTCCTGGTTTTGTATCAAGTAATATTCGCTTCAGTAAAAGGTGTCACGGAGGTTCTGTTCTTCTCCTGATGTTGTGGAAATATTTCTGCCAAGATAAGTACATTCTTCTTTTGTAAGTGTGGGTAAAATTTCGGGTGTGATGCCATCATGAACCGGAACTTTTCTTTTTAGGGAGATATTTATTGCTGTTTCTTTTCAAGCTGTTTCGATTGGTCTGTTCAGGAATCTATTTCTTCCGGATTGAGCCTAGGAGGCTGTGTGTTTCTAGAAATTTTCCATTTCCTCACATTTCCATCTTGTGCATAAAGATTTTTTAGTATTCATAAATTATATCGTGTTATCTTCCTTTGGATCATTGTGGTTATCTCCTTTTTGTTCTGAAGCAGCTTTTAGAGATTTGTCTTTTCCTGCTTCCTCTTTAGCTTAGCCAATGTTGTGTCATTTTGTTTATTTCTCAAAGAACACAACTTTTGTTTAATTAAATCTGCCTGAATAGCTCCCTGTTTTCCATTTCATTAATTCTGATTTTGAATGTTGTTGATTTCACTTCCTCTGCTGGGTTTGGGTTGGTCTGTTATTTTTTTCCATCCTTTGAGTCATTTCGTTTACGGTTTCTAGTATGTCGACATCTTTTTGAGCTTTTAGTTATAAGGCATTTATGGAGATAAACTCTTCTCTCAGAACTGCTTTAAGCTGTGCCCAGAGGATTTGAATAACTTGTCTATCATTGTCATTTTCTTCATAGAATTTTTATTTCCCATCTTGATTTTTTATGTATGAAGTAATCATTTAATAGGAGATTGTTTAATTTCCATGTTTTTGTGTAGAAATGTGAGTTTCTGTTAGGATTGATTTCTACTTTTATTCCACTGTGATTCAGGAAGATACATGGTATGATTTCTATTTTTAAATTTCCTGAGGATTACTTTGTGACCTAGGATATGGTCAATCTTAGAGAATGTCCCATGTGCTGAGGAGAAGAACGTATATTCAGTGGATTTTGGGTAGAATGTTCTGTAAATGTCAGTCAGACCCAATTGTTCTAGAGTTTTGTTAAGTCATTATTTCTTTATTAATTTTGTTTGGAGGATCTGTCTCGTGCCGTCAGTGGGTGTTGAAATCTCCGGCGATTATGGAGTTGCTATTAATCCATTTGCTTAGCTCCAGTAAGGTTTGCTTTATGAATCTGGGTGCACCTAAGTTGGGTGCATATATATTTAAATTGTTATCTCTTCTTGTTGAAGTGTGCCCTTCACCATTATATAATGACCCTCTTTGTCTTTCACTACTTTTGTTGCTTTAAAAACTAAATAGTCTGCAATTAGAAATGCCACGGCAGCCTTCTTTTGGCTTCTATTTGCTTGGAATACTGATCTCCACCCTTTCATTTTTAGTCTATATGATCCTTGCAGGTAAGTGTTCCTGAAGACAGCATATCCTTGCCTGTATTTTCTTATCCATTCAGCTAGCCTATGTCTCTTGAGTGGAGAGTTTAAGCCGTTCACATTTATTGAGAGAACTGATAGGTAAGGTAGATTACTGTTCATTCTGTTGGGTTGGATGTTGTTGCTATGATTTCTGTCTTGAGCCATTATAATATCTGGCCTTTAATCTTTGGGGTTTAGGTGTTTTTATATTCGTACGTTATTATTATGATGTTCCATGTGTAATGCTGTTTTGAGTACTTCTTATAGGGGTGGTCTTGTCCTGGTGAATTCTCTGAGCCTTTGCTTCTCTGAGAATGTCTTTATTTCTCCTTCATATACGAAGCTTAGTTTTGCAGGAAATAAGATTCTAGGCTGGGCATTGTTTTGTTTGAAAAGAATGAATATGGGGCCCCAGTCTGTCCTTGCTATAAAGTCTTATTAGAGAAATCTGGTGTTATTCAAATTGACTTTCCCTTGTATGTCACTTGCTTCTTTCAACTTACAGCTCTTAGAAGGGCCTCTTTAGTTGATATTTTGGTCAGTCTGATGACTGCATGTCATGATGTCTTCCTGTTTGCATTGAATCTTCCAGGGGTCCTTTGAGCTTCTTGAACTTGTATATTGAGATTTTGAGCAAGGCTTGGGAAATTTATCTATTGTATCTTCAAATAGCTTCTCCAAACCTTGAGTGTTGTCTTCTTCCCCTTCTGGTAACCCTATGACCCTCACATTAGGTTTCTTCACATAATTCCACAGCTCTTGTAGGGTTTGCTCTTTTCTCTTGTTTCTCTGCTCTATTTCTGTGACTGATTTATTTAATTGGAGGGTGTTATCTTCAATCTTTGAAATTCTTTCTTCTGTTTGATCTACCATGTTCTTGAGACTTTCAAGTGTATTTTGTAGTTCCCTGAATTGATTCTTCATTTCCCGGAGTTCGGTTAAACTTTTCTTCATTTGGTCTATTTCTTTAGTGAACTATTTTTGCAGATCCTGGAGGCTTTTTGTGCTTTCTTTGTGTTGGTTATTGAGTTGTTCTTGCAGGTCGGTGAGTGTTCTTATGATCCACATACGAAATTCCTCTTCTGTCATTTTGGTTGCCTGATTTTGATTGCTACCCGTTTCTAGGGGCCTGGGGATCCTCTTTGGGGTTGTGTTTTCCATTTGGTTCTTCATATTTCCTGAGTTCATTCGCTGATTTCTTCCCATGTCGATCAGTTGTTGTTTCTTTCCTTTAGGTTTTTATTTGGGTATTCACACGCCTTGTTTAGTTTCTGAGCCGGTAGGTGGTATCTGTGGGTGAGATTCGGCCACTCCCTGTATAATGAGTCAGTGGGTATCGTGAAAAGGGTATGCAAGATGCTCTCCCTGTCAGTAGGTGGCGCTTGCTTGGAGGAACAGGCTAGGCTGTTGTTTTTATGTCCTGTTATCAACTCTTGTTCCTGTAGAGAGAATTCTAGTGCCTCAGGTGGTGGGTGGGGCCCTGGGACTTCCAGTGGTGTCCTCTTCTCCCCTTCAGTGAGGGCTAGTCCAGGAGAGAGTCTGGGCGGAGCTGGGTTGGGTAAGTCTGCCCTCAGGCACCACCAATGTCCTTAGCAGGGGTCAAAGTTCTGTTCTCTGCATCCAGGCAAAGCTGACAGGGAGTGGTAGAATGGCCTGGCTCAGTCAGAGAGTCTGCGTGTGGGGTGGGGGCTGTCTGAGACTTGAAGTCTGGAGCGGGCCTGGATTCTTTCCATTGTGGCCAACTCCGCAGCTACTCCTGGGGCTCTGCCAACAGGCCAGACCGCAGGCCACCAGGCCTCCCCTTCTTTGCTGCTGGCGGGGAGGTTCCCTGCACAGAAATGCCACCTGGGCTGGCCCCAAGGCCTGCCTTTGGGGGGAGGGTTGCCCTCTAGGAAGCTGATCTGCCCTTGAAGGCACACACACCTCAGTAGGCTGTTCACAAATATCCCTTCTGTGCCCCAGGCAATGCAAGGCCTTGGTGCAGGGGATGTGGTCTGCAGGTCTGACCTCTAGGTCCCGGAGTTCCAACTATATCCCCACCAGGGAGAGCAGTGCCAGTCCCAATTCACCCACAGGAGCCCACGCTGCGTCTATGTCTCTCAACCTCAGAGTCTGCCCTGTTCTTCTGGGATCACTATGCCAGCAGCACTTGGGAGGGCTGGCGAGTAGGGAGCTCACAGTCTGAGTTCCCCTTAGTCAGCTGTAGGGCCCCAAAAAGAAAGGTCTCGTTCCCTGTAGGTGCCTCCGGCTGGTGGCTATATTGTCTCTCTGGGCAGCCCCTGGTGGGTCGGGGAAGCGGAGGAGGAGGCAATATGGCGTCTGCCGCTCAGCTCGGAGCTGGCCACAGGGAGGTGCCCCGAGGGAGTTGGTAGCCTGGTGCCATGTCCGCTACTGGCTTACCGCTCACTGTCAGCGGCCGTCGCTGGGCTGGTGTCCACAGGTCTCTCCACTTGCTGGGGAGCCCACCAGCAGTCCGGGATGCAGGGGAGGGGAAATGGCCGATCCACCTACACTTCCTGCCGGTCTCCGGGCTGCTCCAGGGGTCTCAGCTTCCAGTTCTCCTCCATAACCTCCTCCTGTGGAGTCTCCGGTGGTCTCAGGTACTCCTCCTTCCCACCCTCATCCAATGTAGGCTCATCTTCTTGCTCCTTTCTTCTAATTTCTGCTAGAATCTGTCTTTTCTGCAGAGACACTCTGTGTGGCGGTGTTTCTCATCCACCATCTTCTCCTGTTGAAAACAGTTCTTAATAGATGAAGCATGAAGCCTTGGGACTACTGCTCACACCTAAAGCCCCTGAGTTTCCAAGTCACCTTCTAAAATACCTATTTAGTGTCTTCCACAGAGAAGACATTTTGCTGACCGATTCCAATAAATAGAATGTAGTGTGGTTGGGTAGGAGAACTGTAAGTTTTAGAAGCAAACTGGGTTTAGATTCTGTCCTGGTTACTTGTCAGCTGCACAGACATTCGGAAACAGCTTCTCAGCCCATTTCCTCATCTGTACAATGGAGATATTAATAGTTATCTTCACTTCACGAAGTTGTGTTGGTGAAATGGTATAATGTGAATGAAGTGATTGGAACGTGACAAATTGAGGCTATATTAAAATGAACTTTAGTAAGTTATAAATGTGCATATCTGATTTATCTTAATGCTAGATTTTTATCCTAGGTCCCTTTTCTAAACTGATTAAATTCATAGTGGATTTCTTTTTTTCTTTCCCCTCAGAATGGTGGAATTATTTGAGTGGTTCTAAGTATTACTTAACAGTCCACCAAGTTATTTGTCATAAAATTTGTTTTTAAAAAAAATACCAGCCAGGAAGGGTCGGTCACATCTGTAATCCTAGGACTCGGTGGGGCTGAGGCAGGAGGATTGCTTGACCTCAGGAGTTGGAGACCAGCCTGAGCAAGAGCAAGACCAACTCTACAATAATAGAAGAAAATAGCCAGACATTGTGCTGCACACCTGTAATTCCAGCTACTCAGGAGGCTGATGCAGGAGGATTGCTTGAGCTCGGGGGTTTGTGGTTGCAATAAGCTATGATGGTACCACGGCACTGTAGCCAGCATGACAGAGCAAGACTCTCTCTCTCTTAAAAAAAAAAAAAAAGAACTCAGGATGAATTGACTGTTTAGGAAGGTGAATGCTTAAAACATTTTGTATGGCTAAACAGGGTGATAGAGATAATTCTTTTGACACTTTGCAGATCTCCTTGTTTTCACTTGTTAAATAGTTATGACATTCATTTAATAAACACTTAGTTCTAACAGGCCTCAATGTTAAATATTCCAACAGCTCGATAACTGTTGTTGACCTTCAGTGCTTTTTCGTAATGCACCTTGCCTTTCACACCAACTTTGTGAGCCTACGTAGGAAGGAATACTACATGTCTATAATGGCATTAGAGAAGGGAGTGGTGGTGAAGGTCATGAAAAGATCTTTGGGTGAGTACAAATGAAAACCTGGTACCACTTATAAAATTCTGCTGGGCCCTGACATAGTTTATTTCAAATATGGGAGCAAAAGATGTTTAACATCAAATATGAGGACCATACTTGATGGTTTTAAAAGATGCGATCCCCCTCCCAAATCTAAACTCTAAAATGTTTGAATACTGTTAGGTGTCAGTGAAAGACTATAGGAATCTGTTTCTTGGAATTCTTGTAGGATTGGTCCAGAGATCAGACAACATGGGGTCTGGTTGAGTATGGTAAGCATGAGTCAGAGAAAACCCTATTTTTGGATACTGTGGTTTTCCTCTTTAGGAAAGTCACACTAGCCAGTAAGAGCTACCAGGAAACATTCAGGAAAGAATAACATGATAAGATATAACAAACACTCCAACAGCTGGTCTGTGGTCAAGGAAACAACTGCAATTAAGGAATTTTACTTAAGCAAAATACCTAAGGAATATTACCTAGGGAATTTTACCTAATTCCTTTACCCTTTAAGGGGAAAGGAATCTAGCCTAGGACTCTGTTAACCAGACGTACGTAAATTATTAAAGGGAAACCTGTTCTCGAGCTATTCTCCAGGAAGATGAGCAACCCATCTTGCCATCAGTATCCTTTAGTATCTTTGACAAGGGCAGTGCTGGGCTGAACGGACCTTTACTCTGACCAGTACTATATAGATCTGTGGTTCTCAAACCTAGCTGCACAGTGGAGCACTGTAAATACTCCTGATTCCCAGTCCATTCCCAGAGATTCTGACTTAATTTGTCTGGGATGCAGCTTGGATATCTGGATTTTTGAAAAGCTCCCCATGTGATGTTAATGTGTGGCCAGCCTTGCAAACCACAGGCTGTTCTCAGGGTGTTCTAACAAACCTTCCTCTTAAAATCCACCACAGCCTTTAACTTTCTGGGGCTAGTTTGTTTTTGTTGTCATCTTCTCCCTCCTGTCACACTCAAACACTCCCGGGGTGGTGAATTTCTCTCGGCAGTCAGACTAGAACAATCCTAAGGTGGGATTCAAGAGGTGTCCCCGCTAAATAGGGGAACCCAGGTGAAGAGCGGATTCGCCCAACATGGTAGGACAATTGATCCCTCCCGCCAGCAGCTGGACCATTTCTTTAGGTCGTCAACTTGCCGTTTAGGTTATGGTGTGTTGCTAACATGCATTCAGTTGTTTTTCCCAACCTGACCTTGACATTGACAGACCTCCAGTTTCAGGCACATGGTCACCATGTCTCAGCCTCCTGAATTTCACTGCTAAGCTTGCTGCATTAAAAATGGCATTCAGTCCTAAAACAATTCAAAGAGTCCAGGGGCACAGCCTCTGTGTAGCAGTACAGTCTCCCACGTTCGCTTCCCGTTTTCTTTTTTTCTTTTCCTTAGCAGCCAATATCTAAATATAACCACGCCGCAGTAGGAAATAAAAAAAAAAAACCACGCACTGCTCTGGTACCGTGAGACTGTCGCATCTTCCCGGAAGTCTTCCGCGAGTCTGGGTTTCCCGGCGGGTGAGGCGGGAGCCCCGCCCACACCTTTGACTCAACAACCCCTGTCATGTGCGTGCTTTGCCAACCCTGTCGGGAACACAGAGCCCGCCCGCCCAAGCGGTATTTACTGCAAGCTGGATGAGCTCACACGGTTCGCGCTCTTCAGCTCCAACCGGGGAAGTCCCGGCGCGTCCGCGTGCCGCGCCGCCATGCGTCCTGCGGCCGAGCGCCTCGGTATTGCTCCGTGTCCTTGGCGGTCTGCACTGCTGCTGCTGCCTGTGGCCACCAGCCACAGGGTGGCGTGATCGCTGAGGATGCGTCCAGGTTGTTGAGCCTGCTAGCTGGTGTGTTTGTGTGGCGGGGGGCGGGTAGGTGGAGGAATGAGGATCGGTCCGTGACCACGCAGAGGGCCTGGACTGGGAGGTGAGGAAAGGGACTTGTGTCCGTGTCTCCCCCTAATCCTTACTTAAGCTCAGGCTCCGACTTCCTTGGGCCGGAAGAGTTAGCCTCCTACGCCAGCAGCTTTGGGACGACCTTGCCGTGCTGACCCAGCGTGGCATGCTTCAGGGTGGGCGCGGAGCTAAGGAAGGCTGGGCTGAGTTCGCCTAGCACCAGACCGGAAAGGAAAAGGGAGGGCTCCCAGAGAAGTGAATTCCGCGCCCAACAAGCTTGTCTAAAAGGGTGGGAGAATTGAGCTGACCGCTCCCGCCTCTCAGCACGATGCTGTCAGGTGCCACACAGTGCCTACCCACCTTCTGTCATCCTTCACCATTTTGTGTAGCTAAAAGTAGGAAAATAGATCAGTTTTGGTAATTAAATGTTTACCATTTTTTGAAAAAGTGGGTATAATAATATCTATTACTAAATATCTTTCCCAGACCTTACCAACCAGGAAATAAATTATACATGTGATCATTGAACACATGCAAATGCCATAATGATATAAATATAGTAAATACCAAATATTGCAAAGCATAAAAAAAGGGGGGACTTAAGTCCCGGATTAATTCCAGACTGTTTAAATAAGGGTCACAAGTAATTAAAAAGATGCTATTTTTTCGTTGATTGGTGTTTAAAAACTTTTAGTAC